CTCTTCAGAACGTGCAGCTAAAGAGACAGAGACAACTTTCTTATTAACAATTCACCATGGAGGGCTAAAATCCGCATTTCAAACACTTCTTGATATTTTTCCACAATATTATTATTACTTAATATAGAAAATTTTTGGCATTTTTTCGTCCGTATTAGGACCACATGACATGGATACAGCTTCATCAATCACATGTAAGTATACTGAAGACAATAAAAAAAGATAAATGATATAATAACAATAACAATAACAATGCGATTTTCTTGAACCAAGAGTCGATTTAATTAAACCGTTTTTTTAAGTGTAATTACAGACCTAACTATCGTTTTCAAACCCTAACTTGAACAATGATTACTCTTGTAAAGAGTAATATGAAATTGACTTAAGTAGTAAATAATCCATCCTGTCTTTTCTCTTTACAAAGACGCTCGATCACTTTACTACTACTGAAAAGAAAACAATTCATTCATTCATTCATTCATTCGTTCGTTCGTTCGTTCGTTCGTTCGTTCATTCATTCATTTTTTCATTCGTTCGTCCATTCGTTCATTCATTTTGATCGTTCGTTCGTGTGCTCTTTCGTCCGTTCATCTATCCGTTCAGATCTTCATCTATTCATGTCGTCTCCTATTCGTCCGCTCATATCGTTCGTTTATCTATTCATTCTTTAATTAACTGATTAATTTATTTAAATTTATCAGATGACAACAAGCCGCGCAAGGCTGTCATCATTTCAGTTGCAGTCGTCGCTTTCGTGTTACTTCTTTTGGCTCTGTTCGGTTACTGGTACTTTCATCACCAACGTGGGAGATCATACTACACAGGTTAGGGTAACATGTATATACAAGGAAAGCCTTTAACTTGACCGTTGGACCATGATATAATAGTATCAACGAGGTTTTCAAAAAAAAGAAAACAAATGAATGATTTTAAGTATAAACCAAAACATGTGGCTGTAAAAAAAAGAAATACACGTACAAAGTTCTTGCGCCGGCGCAACAACAATACCAGAGAGGGCGTCTGTTAACGTTGTACGTGCAATCACCTTTTCTCGCCCCCACTTTGACCTGTTTGGGGAGTTTATGAATGGCAGTTGGTATCCAAAGTAGCCTCCCCCGCAGACATTCTCAGGGGTGCGTCACGCGTTCCTTCCCCACGTGACGCACCCCTAAGAATGTCTGGGGAGGAGGCTATATCCAAAGGGAAGCATTTGCCATCTAATGTATTCCTTTTATCGTCCATCGAGACCATTCCTCCAGAAATAATTGCGTCGAAAATTTTCCTGTGGGAGTATTTTATGGAAAAACCAATTTACTGTAAGGTCGCACAACTAGTTTGCCGTACTCACCTGTATTGCTTCGTGTATTATACGGCCTTCTTAAAAATTTTTTTTATTGTATTTAAATTGATTAATCTTATCTAGAATCAAGAAATTAATAAATGGTTTATTTTATCCTTAAAAGTCTTTTGTTATTTGCAATTTCATTACAGACGTTAAAGATACGGAAGTCGAATTTGATGCTTTCATCATATACAGCACAGCAGACCAGGAGTGGGTTAAGACGACACTACTTCCAATTCTTGAAGAAAAGAATGCTTTGAAGTGTTGTGTTCACTACAGAGATTTCGTACCTGGAAAGCCTTTTAGAGAAAATATGGCAGACAGTGTTTACAAGAGCAGGAAAACCATCGCTGTGGTATCACGAAATTTCTTTAAAAGCAGATATTGCCATCATGAAATGGATATGGCTTTAGGACGATTAGTCGAGAGAGGAGACAATAGTGTGATTGTCATTAGACTCGATGATGTCGAGGGAAGGAAACTCCCTAAAGCACTTAAAGAAAGGAGCTATATCGATTATTTCAAGTCAAATGACAAGGAAATGTGGGCGAAACAGCTGACCCATTGTTTCAAAGACCCCATTCAACCGAGGGTTGCACAAAATAGGTTTGTCTGACCATAGTTAGCGAGGAGACTGGTTATGAAAGCGGGCAAACATCAAAGTTGAAAACAACGGTGCTATAGTTTATGTTGAAAGCTCCCTGACCGTGCACAATCCTTTGTTTTTGTTCACAAATTGTAACTGAATAAAGTAAATAAATGCAATTCAAATGTGAGTCGTGCGATGCAAATTATATCGGTTACACGTGCCGCCATCTCCATCAGCGTGTAGAGGAATACAAACATTCCTTTATTGGCGAGCAGTTCTTGGAAAAACACAACTTAAAACGGATGAATCTTAACACAAACTTTAACCCTATTCAGACTGGGCTTTTTTGGTCAATCTGTGACTGGAGGGGGGGGGGGGG